TCAAATAGCCCTAACAAAGCACACAATCCATGGATTAGTTTCCATGTAGTAATAGGCTCATAATGGTGGAAGGGAATCTGTTACTGTGATTTATAGTATTACTTCTGCAGTAACTGCCCTTCAAAGCAAGAAGTGGAGGAGAGACTCTTAAAGGACATGTCAGTAGTGGAGAGTTCAGGTCTGATAGGAACTCTTGTGTGTGACGCTTTCATCCTTTAAAATTACATGACAGTACTTTAGTCACTGTGATGAGAAAGGCTAAAAAAGTATAAATGCACTCTCCCTTTTAGAAGGCATGAGGTCCAGCCTCTGTGGTACAGCAAGTGTGCGCAAAGCAGGAGCGCGGAAGAAGTGACGCACATCTGGATCTCCTCTGGACATTACAGTGAGCGCCTCCGGCCACCGCTGGCCTGACATGGCGTCAGTAGAAGGCAAGGCGAACGTATTCCTCTCACTGCCAACATCTATAAGTAAAACCTCTCATTCTCTTAGAGTGTGTTTTCTGTGTGACATTTTTAGTGTATACAAATAATAAATGTGTATTATAATTAGTTCATTGCCTTCCAAGAGGGCAAACTTTGCGTAAGGTCGTGTGCTTTCATAAAAGCCTGCACCTAAAACGTCTTAATAAGTTATGATTGTTTACATAAAAGATATATGAAGAGCAATCACTGAAAACAAACATAGCATGTGTCTGATTATTTCCAGCATTCGTGTGTGCGCAATTGACGCTCGCTGGTCTCCGTTGGAAGACGTGTGCGTAAAAAGTTCTCTCTCGTTCACTGGATAATAAGTCTCACCTTCATCTCCTGGTTAATCTCCCTCTTTACGGGGTGCGCGGGTTTCCTGCTGCGTTTATTTTCCGGAGGTCTCCCTTTCTCCATCTCTGGCATAGTCCTGGCCTGGCTGGATCCGATCCGGATCAGTGTGAGGTGTCAGCTTAAGCAGTTTTAGCGGAGTAGATCAGAGTCACTCCCGGTGACAGCGGCTGTCATTCCCACACATCTGAGTGCCTCATCTGGGGCGTCTCACCATTCGATTCCACTAAACGTGCGTGCGCTCCGGGGCCGGAGGATCCGCCGCCGAACAATCACCACTCTCACTGCTCCACCACTGTCAAGGGTCTACCTGTACACGCGACGTGTCTTCCGCTTTGGGCTTTCAAAATAAATCTGACATGTCAATCTTTTTTTACAATGAAATTATGGACAGCCAAGAAAATAATCAACAACGCAATAACGAGCTTTAGCTTTGGTGTTAATTAAAACAAAAATAAAAATTTAAACGGACCAACATGCTTTTTATGTGGGCCACTTTTTCAAGTGAAGAACTCAACCCATGTTGAATTCCCACTTCATTTTAAACACAGCATCCTGTGTTTTGACAAACCAGACTAAAACATGCTGAGCGAAAAGTTTCTAATCAAAACGTAAGTTAGTCATTTGAATATGGCAGCAGTGTACTGTAGCTAATGATGCAAAAACAAAATTTAAACAACATATCTGTGCAAATTCTCAGTCATCCAGGTCATACTATACTGAAAAAGCTTAGAAGAAGGTATCTGGATGTAGTTTTAGGTATAAGACGTTTCACCTCTCATCAGTTCTGTTCAGTTAAACAACATATTTGAGCAAAAGGCAGAAACAGTAACACAATGCATCCTTTAGCGCCACGCAAACAATTATGGAATAAAATCATAACACTTGTTCTCTTTTCAAGTAAAACACGGAAGTTACACACGGAAATACTGCATATCTTGAACAATTACAGCCCCATGACTTGAATACAAATAGTTCCCACAAAAACGTTAAACCACCTGGCTACCGGTCTAATTCGTACTATCTCTGTGTAGCTTGACCCTGCCCTCTCCAAATAAGGAGGGGAGGGCCCTCTGATTATTTGTAACCCAACACTTGGCGCCCACCCCTCCCAAATCTCAACAGATACATTTCATAAGGAATGCAAAGACTGTGTTTTATCTGAGGGGACACAGTACAAACACTGTCTGTATACTCTTGTCTTAAAATAAAAAGATAAAAAGAGCGCCGTGAGAGTAATGATACCATGGCAGAATATTTGGGGCTTTCTTATATGGCATGTGTTTGATCACTGCCTGTGTGTGTGTGTGTATTTGGCTGCACAAAATACCTGAAACATTCATGATTGGCCTCTGAGCAACACTTCAAATCAAATTGAATTTTATTTATATAGCGCCAAATCACAACAAAAGTCATCTCAGGACACTTTACAAAGTAAGGTCTAGACCTTACTGTTATCAATATTATTACATAGGGAAAACCCAACAAATCCCTCTTGAGCAAGCACTTGGCGACAGTGGGGAGGAAAAACTCCCTTTAACGGAAGAAACCTCCGACAGACCCCGGCTCTTGGTGGGCGGCCTTCTGCCTCGACCGGTTGGGGTGAGTGGATAGAGGAGAGACAAAAGAAGAAAAGCAACAAGACAACAAACAATCAAACACTGATCAGGTCGATGTGGTTGGTGACTGCTCGTCAGAGATGTAGAGCTCCAGGGCCAGGGCAACCTGCAGAAAGGTACAGGGAGAGAGAGAGAGGACACACTACGGGAGAGAGGAGACACAAAGTTAGTAATGTGTAATGGTGGCATTTGCTTGAGGAAAACTACCACATGCTTGAGGGCAGGGGCTACATTCGAGTGTGTCCTGCCTCTTTGCACAAACAAGAGCTTAAACATTTGTCCCATGGTTAGTGATGGTAAAGGCCAGAGGATTTATTACGATATCAGGTTTCTCTGCTGGTGATGAAAAGATGGAGGTGATCAAGTTGCACTCAAAAATATAAACAAAACACAGTGCTATTTCAGACCTGTTGGACGGCTTCTGCTTGATTATTTTTGCAACAATTTGAGTATATTCAAACTGAATTCAGACTAATCCACTTATTGTCATAACAAAAACAAAGTTTAGATGAATACTGAATCCGTGAATATCACTATCTTGTTGAACTTTCACTTAGTTGCCAAACCCTCTGCAGGGTAACAGACAGGTAGACAGACAGGCGTGGCAGGAGTGTTGTTCCAGAGCTTCTCTCTTCCCTGACTCCACTCCTCCTTGGTCTGCTCTGGCTGGAGGAATCCAGGGACCATGCTCGTGTAAACAGAAACTTGATCCCGTGCACAGGGCTTGGGTTTCGCCCCCTTGTAGATCTGCTGCTGACACCTGATCTGGCCCGGCTTTGGGAAGAGGACTTATCTGATGCCTCACAAAAGGCCCCTGTCCCTGGGTCTCCATAACATCGCACATCTGGTGCCTCTGCAGGGAGCGCTGTCCCTTTAGGTTCCTCTGGGGGTGAAGGTGGAGATAAGACTGCTTCACTGTTCCTTCAGAAATTCACTAACACAAATGACAGAGGAAGACAGTTTTCAACATCTGGGCTGAATTATAAAAACTGGCTACTTTCTATCATTATTACACAATCAGCAAACATCCCCTGTCAATTTAGAAGTTAATTAAAAGTGTTGGTATCTGCCTTGAACATTAAAAGACAAATTCAGCATGATCCCCTTGTCATTTTCATAAAGTTGTGGGGGCCAATTTCCATGTCATGCTTAAATTTAAACAAGATCTTAGTTTAAACACAGTCCTTTGACCCTTCTGTTACCCATCAGTGACCCCTTACTGTACCATATACAACAATTATATTACATCATTCATTGAAAAATATGATAAAATCATGTTTATTCATATGCTGTTTCGCGCACTCCCTAATTTTGTGTTGCTGCTGTTTATTAGTGTATTTATGTTTTTTCCTGGATAACCATGGGCATGTAAAATTGCACAAGAAATGATTTTGTTATTTGCTGCTGTGCTATAATATAAGTGGATCTAAATGTCCAAAGATGAGAGAAGTACTCAGATTCTTTACTTAAGTCAAAGTAACAATACCACAGTGTAAAAATACTCTGTTGCAAGTAAAAGTTCTGTATTCAAAATGTGAATTAAATAAAAGCACAAAAGCATTAGCACTTAAATATAGAAGTACCAAAAGTAAAAGTACTCATCAATTAATGTAAAGCATATCATGAGATTATAATGCATTAATGTGTACATCACATGCAGTGCTGCAGCTGGTATAGGTGGAGCTACAGTAATTCACCTTACTACTTATAATTTTAATTACAAGCTATAGCTTGTGAATTTCCAAACAGAAATCAATAAATTCTTGTGCTTCTAATGTATTTTCTTAATGTATACATTAACAAAATAATGTCATTCTTAAAATGACTAAATGTCTAAAATAACTAAAGTTGTCAGATAAATATAGTGTAGTTAAAAGTAGGCCATAATATGTATTTGGCTTTAAAATGTAGTGAAGTATAAAGCAGAAGAAAATGAAAATACTCAACTAATGTACAGCTACCTCAGATACCCAAGTGCTGTACTTGTGTACAACATATGTACAATTTAGTTCATTTCCATCACTGATTGGGCCAAACAACATACATAACCTTTTCCCATTGTCAAATTGGCCAGTAGGTGTCGCTGTTGCCATACTTATATCGCTTAAATCCAGAGACTATCAACATCTTGTGTTGTTATCTCCTTAGTTTGCCATTTTTGTCCGTTTTTAATCTTATTTTTATCAGTGTCTTGCGAATTCAAGTCTCAATAATTGAATTTTAGCAGTTGAAATGGGTATTGACATCTGAATAATTATAATCCCAATTACTGCTTAAACCAAGCAGGCGACAAGTCATTATCACCTTGGCAACACAATTATCCCAGTAATATTGTTCAAGCTTACCGGGTCAATAAGGTGGTTAATTACTACTGAGCAGGACACTTCAAAGAAAGTGGAAAACTCAGGACTGGGATGGAGCATGTCTGCTCAGCTCAACCCCGCCCCAAATGCTTTAGTAGACCCCGTATCCAGGTAGCCCCAATTGTGCCATTGTTTTAAACCAGCATTTCCGGCAGCCTGTGAGCTACGTCACAGACCCGCAGCTGGTATAAAAGCTCCATCAGCGGTAACGTCCTCATTTAGAGACAAGCACCGTCTGTGGGGATCCTCCTGGTACCTGGCCAAATTAGGCAACTGCATTAAAAGAAAATGTTCAGAATGACGGTCGTTCAGCTTGGAGTGATTGTCTTCGTCCTCTGTCTGTCAACACCGGTAAGATAAAATAAAGCTGATTTTATACTTTAGGTCGTGGCGTGTGTCTTGATGGGGCGGGCGGGGAAGGAGTGGAGTAGGGGATTATATTTATTTATAAGTGTTGGAAATTAACTGCAGTGATGGTTTGACTTGATAATCAGATGGTGTGGTCTGAATTAGGCTACAGGCTACACTTGAAGCCCTCTTGGGAAATAAACACCATCCAATCGGTGTCGCTTTTAAAATTGCTGTGTCCTTAAACTGCTTTCCAAGTCATATTTTTCCTCCGTTTATTTTTACCTGTTAATTATCGGGCACTCCAGTGAATTAATGATTCAGGTGGAGTGTATTATGTACCTGCGTGAAGGTGAGGAGAGAATCTAAAGTTTCTTTTTTCGTGCAGTGTGCCAAACGACACCTGACACGCTTTTGCTGACCAACCAGCCATCTTATGTTGCTGCAGAGTGTATATATAACTGGCTACACGAGTAGTCAGAAGTAATTGATGTAATAATTTAAAACTCTGCAAACCCAGACACTTTAATGAATTCCCAGTGTTTTGGAAATTTGGACTGCCACAATAACGTACGTATGTGTCATTAAGTTTAATCCCTTGTATTGAATCCATTTTACAATCTTAAGTATCTGGTATTTCAACATGTTCTCCTCACCCCAGGGCGTTAAATACTGTTGGCAATCTGCTCTATTGAAAACCCTGGGTGTCATGAGGACACCTAAGGTAGTATAAAGTACTTGACCAAGCATCAGTGTGTGACGTCGTGGAAATGAGAATAGACTGAGAAAAAGCCAAACAAACTTTGTTATTGAATAATCTGTCTGGAGTTTAAAATCCTCATCCCTCCCTCTTCAACCAACAGGTGCTTTCACAGAGCAATGCAACCACCCCGATGGTAAACAGCACCTCCAACACCACAATGAGACCAAACGCCACCAGTTCAGTAAACACCACCAGTGCAGTCAACAACACCACCACCTTTTCAGGAGCAGGCGCTTTGCTGCATGCAGGTGGCACCTCCTTTCTCGTCCCCGTCATCATGGCATCGTACTACTATTGAAGTCGGGATTCCACAGCCCCACTTGTCTCGACACTCCTCACCACCTTCTATTCCATCATGCCACCCGGGCCAGCCTCCCCCATCTCAGAGACCACAAGGCTAACGCAGCTGGACTCAAATCTACTTCATCCTCAACTTGTAACCATGTAGTCAAAGATGTTTCTTTCAATAAAGGGGGTTTAATGTTTAGCTGGAGCTCATCATGCCTCACCCAAACGGTCCCTTTCATTGAATCAAAAGGATTGGTGGTGCAGCTCCTTGCTTGGCTTGCATTTCCATAGTCTCGCATCACATCTCGGATGGCTCAGGGCTGTGGTTTGTCATGTAGCATGTCTGTTAAAATATGGACCACTTGAATGTACAGAGATTCATTCTGTGGTTTTTAGTTCCACCTGGGAATCAGTTTTTTTTTTCTTTTTTTTTTTTGGCACATATAGTAGGAAATGGGAAAATGTCACATGACACCTGTGGAGTTTTTCATAGCTTGGCTCTTTAGTCATTTTACTAATGTCAGATGTGTAGCAAATAAACACAGGATGTGTCACTTTTACCTGGTGATTTTTACAATGAGGGTTTGACACTTTCCACCCCTTCAACCCAAGTGATGACTGTATGAATGTCCTTATGAGATGTTGGATTTATATTTCCCCCTTATAGCTTATATTTTGTATATAATGGAAATGTACCGTTTATTAGCTTGGGCATAAGATATTGGAAGAAATGACAATGTACAATAAACTGAGAAATAACAGCTATAATTGCCTCTTTGTTTAAAATATTTCTTTCCTGTGAAACCGGTACTTGATCTCACTTCTATTCGAATATTCTTGTTTTTGAATGGGTTTCTAGAATATCCTGATATAGCTGACCTAAAGGGTGTGGTGATGTTGTGTAACCATTGCTAAACTGCAGGCTAGAGATGACCTTGGCATTCCCCGATGCCTCCAGTGATCTCTAGATCAGTGCTGGAGCAGCACTGATCTAGATATGAACTGGTACAATGTCTACAATATTGTAGTGATGTACAAAATCTAAAGCTGCACCACAACTTGATTCTTTGTTTTGACTCTACAAGAGGGAGAGAAGACATTAGCATATGGAAACCTGTTATTCACTTGGGAATAAAGATGAGTTTAAATGGCCTGAAGAGTTGAACAAGTTTAACTTTGGTGTGTTGACTCTTTTTACCTAGTCCTATTTACAGTATGATCTAGGGCCGAGTTCTCAGCAGCTGCAGAGCATGGAAAAATCTTTACAGTATCAGCTGAATTTATTTTGGGCTTCCATTTAAATGTGTATCCTAAAAGGGAAAATGCATTGAAGAAAAATGGCAAACTTTAATTTCCCACTATGAAGGTAATTTATGTGGAGAAAAAGCCAAGTATTAGCTACTCTGTCTTATGTATGACCATGTCAGGAATCTCTGGCTGTACTGTTTTATCTGTAGTTGCTTTAAAGCTTTGTGTTTCACTGCTGATCTGGCAAGGAGACGAGTACAAATGGATAAAAAGCAACCAACAAAGCTAAAACCATCAGACCCATCGCTATCAGAGTGAACTCTGGCATAGTGAGCAGTGTGCAGCTCAGAAATGCTTCAGTACCAGTGAGACGGCTTCATGACGCACTAGCCCAGCCTTTTGTGAATGTCCTCTCCGCACACAACCCCATCTCCCCTCCCTAACATCCCTTTTTCCGGATATATCCATTCAGTGTTCTCCACCAGGTCTGCAGGGACTGTAGAAATGTGGGTACTAAGGGTTTTATTTTCCTAATTGCTGCTGAAAACACATTTTCAAAGTAGTGTTAGAATCTTGCTTTAATAGTCTCAGCTGTTACAACGGGACTAATTCACTTCTATGAAATAACTTGTTTTAATTTTTGATAGCTTTATTTATAATACTTCTCTTTGGAACTTATAGCTAAATACTGTATGTCCAGGAAATAAAATAAGTAGAATTTCACTATTAGTAGATATGACAGGAAATAAAATATACTGAAATAATGAAATATATTATGCTATTTATCACAGACCACTTGGTGTCAAAGGACTTTTATTTTGAAAAATAAAAGCAGTAGTACAAAATATCATCTGCATTGCTTCTGGTCAAAACTGACTGTTACAATTTTATCAGTCAAGTTTACCCATGAGAAGTTTACTCAGATAATTCAGTTATGAATATTACACAACGAAAGCAATAATTGTCAATGTTTTTAACGCCTCAAGGTTAGTCAATCAACCGTGGTTATGTATGTGTGGTTGAAGGGATGAATAGACATGTTCCTAAACTTTGCTCTTCTTGTATAAGAAATAATTTCCTGTTCAGCACAGAATAAGATACCCACAAGTGAATAAAAATGGTCAAAATATATTTTTGAATGTGTTTATATCACAGCAGGAGGGTTAAGCTGTGAATCTAGATGAGTAGTCTTCCTTTAAGGGAACTGTTTAAACAAGAAGGCTGTTGCCTGCAGCAGTACACTGACTGTAGTGTTTTCTGACAGGCTTTTGTTTAAACATTGAACAGTATTTATATAGTATAAACAGGGGAAAGTCTCTTTATCTTATTATAAATTTTTCCATAACTTTACAGGAGTCAAAATTATTTTTGTCATGGTGCAAATGTGACTCAGTCAAGATGTTGCCATCCTCCTATTTCCCCCTGTAATCTCATCTCAGTATGACATGGATGAGTCACCTCTAAGGAGAAAAGTCTTTAGCTTTCCTCTATCACCACTCCTTTTTCCTCTGTAATTGGTCATCTGATCTTAGAAGAATAATAACTAGTATTCTCAGAATCTGCCTTTGAAAACACCTCAGTTAAAAAGTTGTCTCTCAGGATTCCTGGTTGATTTGTTTTGACCATAAATTGCTCTCATGCTAAGTATTTCCACTAGTCAAAGAGACAGTGGATTTTTTTTTCCTGTTGATGAAACTCTGCAGGGCTTGTTTTTGTTCATCCATTGTGTGTGCTCGTCCCTTTTAACTGCCCTGAATAAACTGGACTTGTTACTTGCAGTAACATCATACGTATCACTTCCTGTATGCCACTTTTTCCTGGAATGACCCATTACACAAAGGCTATTAACAACAGCAATGGGGATAGCTTTTATTATGAAATTGATATTAAGTTACTAGAACTTGTTACAAAAAAGTCAAAAAATCATAAAATGGACCAAATCCTCCAAACAAAAAATAGATTTTTAAAAAGTGTCTTCATTTATCATTAAGTTTAGATCAACTTTTACTAAAACGTAACAGAGGGGCTTCAGCTGAATCTTCTTCACTTTGAGTTTTACTTAGTTTCTTCTCTATTATATCTGACTGACATCATCTCAGCATCCATACTGCTGTATCTCCATAACCCCGAACAGCATATCTGACCTCTGTTCTGGTGTGAGGCGTGACACCCAACAGATCTTTAATCATTGATTCTATATATGAATTATTCAGATGTCTGCGAGTGTTGCAGGGAAGATGTCACACATACACACGTTGTTTGCTTTTTTGTAACATTGTATGTTGCGTAAGAGCAAGTGGTGTGATCACATGGTTATAATTAAAACATTATATTGTGAAAAGGGAGTACAATGTTTGCATGCACATATTCACCACCATGCTGTGAATACAAGTTTATATTTGTGTGTGTTTGTGAGGTAATAATATAGATACATTAGTCTTGTTTCTGTCCTTATGGAGTTGTGGCAAGTTTCAGGACTGTGGTAAGACGACTCACGACAGGGCTGCTATAGGAGGAATAAAACAGCTTTTTAGAGAATTGATTTGTATATTTTAACTCTAAAATCCAGTTTTTCAATTCATAAAACTCAAATCAAATCGAGCATTTTGACTTCAACTGTAATGAACAATTTTGCTTCCACTTAAACCTGCAATTTGTTTCGGGCTCATGAATAGTCCAGCTCACATCTCATACAAATGTGTTGCTCAGTGTTGCACCTGTTGCCACATGGCAGAAAGAATTCTGAAAAACAGGCTGAGATCATAGATATGAAATGACTGAGTTCTCACTTCTTAAATGGTCAAACCAGTTATAAAAACTAATGGCAGATGCTCATACACTGTTCTCACAGTATGTTCCTTCCTCCGGGTTTGGTTTACAGAGAACAGCAGTCTTTAATTTGCTTAGTAAATAGAAGAAAAAGGTACAAATTGCTGCTTCAAAACCAGCTATTCCTGTTCTTGAGCCCTAGTGTGTACCATAAAAAACATCAGCTATACTGGTACCATCATACATCTCTAAAGGAGTTTATACCTACCAGTTGTATAAGCCATTCATAAAATCAAATTTTGCATTGCCCATTTATAAAAAGTCCCTCTTTGCTCTGCATTTGGAGTATTACTCTTATGAATACTGGTAATCTATTAATAGATACAGGGGTTCACATATTCTAAAACCCATAAAATCTGCTCATTATTATGCTGTTGCTGATGGACATTGATCCAGATTGTCTGCAGGTTTTTCCAGAAGCTATGTGATCCATTAAAAAGGTCTCCCTGAGGATTAAAGACACTAAAAAAGACAGGTGTCACTGAAGTTCATCTTTACTTTCAAATATACACCCTGGTCAAAAGTAGAAGACATTTTAATAGTGCTGTGCTCCTTAGCAACTATGTACTTTTATGTAAAACACATTTCATGAACACATAAAACAAAGCTGCATGTTTTGATCCTATTGTTAAACAATATGGAGCCTTAATATATTTATTAATACCAATCTAAATGCTTTGTGGTGCTGTAGTTGTAATATAGTCTGGAGTAATTGGATCATACTGATACTTTTCCAGTTCATCACTCTCTTATCCTATTTATGCAAATCATTTGTTCCTGTCAGCATCTGACTCGCTTGACCAGAAAGAAAATGTTGTTCTTCTCTGTAAGGGAATTTTCCTCATTTGCCTAGTGTTCATAAACACTTTTAGCAAGCAAATGCTATTCAACCTAGCAACAACATAAATACTGTGGCAGTCAAATGTTTCATCAAGTACAAATGAGCTTTTTGGCTGTACTGGTTGCAAGCTGCACATATAAAGCATATTTTGTGAGATTATGGCTGCTTGTTTAAATAACAGTTTCCTCAATTTTGAAAAAAGCTACAAAACCCTATGATAAGCAGATAATGGTTTGCAAAAACCATAAAATGCAACAAACTCCTTAAACACATTACATAATAAATCACAATAATAAAGACATCAGTCAGAAAAAACAAATCCAATGCAGCAAAACAAATTATCACAACATATGTTGGCACATTAGTTGATGGACCAGACAGGGATTTAATAGCCCAAGAGACAGCGATATAAGTTCTGTCATTACTGCAAAATCCACAGCTCATGTTGAAGCATTAATGAGCCCCCTGGATCTTTTACTCTTGATTTTATAGCAGCTAAAACTGCAGCAGTAGGCCACTGGTCAGACCTGTGCTATAGTGTGCGCCCAGGGAGTCCACAAACTGCTGCTTTAAAAAAAATTCTGCTTTTCCTCGCCTCTAACAGAAACCTTATTTCATCAGGGTCTGCAATTTTATTGTTATTGACTGAGCTGCCAAACAAGACTCCAGCACACATGGACAACACTGGTTTCAACAGAACTCTAATAAAACAATCCCCTTACTGCAATGAAACCATTTCTTTTCCAATTAAATAACGCCTGCAGGTAATAATAGCTGACGTTTTTGACAGTTTGCATGTCTTTTGTTAAAGTGGGTTGAATATTGGTTCACAACAATTTTAGAAGTG